CTCGAGTAGCTGGGACTACAGGCACTCATCACCACGCCTGACTAATTTTTGTATTATTAGTAGAGATGCAGTTTCACCATGTTGGCCAGGATGGTCTTGATCTCTTGACCTCATGATCTGCCTGCCTTGGCCTCACAAAGTGTTGGGATTACAGGTGTGACCCACCGCGCCTGGCCCATGTTTTCTACCTTATTATTCTGTCTCATTTTACCCTCACCAGTTTTCCATTTGATGTGTTGAATATTGCATCTTATTCTTAAAACTGTTCTAGAACAAAACAGCCACCAGCTTATATGGAAGAAAAAAGCTTAGAGAAAATTCAGTTCCATCCTCCGTATTTTACAAATGAGAAATTTCAGGCTCTAAGGTCCCAATAGCTATCAGTTTAAAAAGAGACTGGAATTTAGAGATCCAGAATATAGCTTATTGATTTTCCCTCAATATCTGTTTGTCTCCTGTGACATTAGATTTTTATTTTTTTTACCTCTCCTTAAGACAACACTGTCCAAGGGATGTTGATAGACATTTTCACTGACCTGAGGCAATATACAATTTAGGAAATTCTGCATTCTACATGTTGCTTTGGAGAATCACAAGAAAATTCTGAGAAATCCTGTGCAATAAGTAAATCAATTTCATTCTGCTGAACCCATGTCTCCCAAACATATCCAACCACTAATAAACCATTTTTTCTTTTCTCTTGTGGGGGCATCCAAATGAGAGAGAGCTGCACCCATCAACACTCCTCAGATTCCACTTTGGGAAGTTCTGAGTTAAGAAAGGTCTGCAGGAGCAACGGTCTAAATCCCCACAGTAGCAGGAAGGGAGGAATGGTCAAAAGTCCATTCTGAAGAGCAGCTGCTCTCCACACTACCAGGTGGTGCTACACCGCACTGTGCCCAGGGCCACAGGATGTCAAAGGGCCCGGGATCCACCAGTGAAGAAGCTGTAAAGGAGGGCAGGGCAGTACCCTAGGCCTTTCTTTGCATGCTGCTTGGGTGTTCTTCTGCAGGCATGCCACAGGATGCAGCTCACTCTGACAGCCACAGGAGGAGGTGCCTGGAATCCTCTTTACTATGTAACATTAGTCTGCACCCACTGTGAATTCTAAAAAGACAGGGATGACAAATTCTTCTTCCACTGAGCAAATGCCATCAGTCAGTGGGGACAGAGTTCCAAAAATGACAACATAGCATGGTGTGTGTACCTCTGTGGGGGCAGCGTGTGTGTGTACAGAGCCCAAAGGGGCCTGACAGCTAAGCAAGCTCTGCTATGGCCCAAGGGACACCTGTGTTTGGACCTATGGAGCCCTAACGCCTAGACCCTGTAGTAGATGCCAATGGCAAGTCACTCTACCCTTTGGCAAGTCACTTACCTTCTCCGCTTTTGGTTTCCTCTTTGGTAAAACAGAATTGTTAATAATAGCAATAGGGTGATCAGGAATATTTGCAAAGTGCTTAGACTACTGCTTACCTCACTGTAGGTACAATTTAAGTGTTTGTTAAATAAAATAGTGTCATTCACCTATAATCCCAGCTACTCAGGAGGCTGAGGCATAAGAATCACTTGAATCCGGGAAGCAGATGTTGAAGTGAGCCCAGATGGTGCCACTGTACTCTAGCCTGGGCAACAGAGCAAGGCCCTGTCTCAGGAAAACAAAACAAAACGAAATTCAAAATAAAATAGTGTCATTAAGTGTTTACTCCAACTTCCCTCAATGGGTAAACATTTTCTTTCATAATTGATGGTGACATATAACATTGGTGAAACAAGTCCCTTGCGTGCCGTGCTTTGGGGCATCTGGCCGAGCTGTGATGATGACACACATGAGGCCTGTGCCCATGCTTACTTAGCTGCCTGCAGGCTCTCCCAGCTTTCTGGCGAGGTGCGGTCACATGTTATGAAGAGCCAGCTGCCGGCATGTGCTAAAGATCAGGCCTTGGGGGGTTACCGGAGATCCCGGTAGAAAAGGAATAAGCACGCAGGACAGGAGGCGTGGCTGCAGACTCACAGATGGGCCAGCAATTACCCTGCACATGGCGGTGTCTTCCAGGGGCCTGCTGGTCCTGCTGCTGCAGGCAGCACCTCCAAGGAGCCCTGGCTGGACCAGGAGAGCTTGGCCCTGCCTCAACCTCACGTCCCTTGGTAATCCTTATCTCAGCTGTGAAAAACGATAAAATAAAAACTGCTTGAAAAACAGACCAAAAAATGTACCAAATAGAAACAAGAAAGGGAAAGTGTATTAAAGCCTTGGTTATTTTTTCTTGCTATCTTTGTAATGTACTTGAAAGTACCATCATGTAAGTATATTTCTAAACATTTTCTTTTTTTGAGACAGTGTCTTGCTCTGTTCCAGACTGGAGTGCAGAGGTGTGATCTCAGTTCGCTGCAGCCTCTACCTCCCAGGATCAAGTGATCCTCCCACTTCAGCCTCCCAGGTAGCTGGGCCTACAGGTGCATGCCGCCATGCTTGGCTAATTTTTGTAATTTTTGTGGAGATGCGGTTTCAGCCATGTTGCCCAGGCTGGTCTTGAACTCCTGGACTCAAGCAATCTGCCTGCCTTGGCCTCCCAAAGTGCTGGAAATTTAGGCATGAGCCACCACAGCCAGCCAATTTCTATACATTTTTTAAAAGACAAACATGCATCATCAAAAGGACTGTCTGACAAATTTATTTTAAAAGACTGGGAAACTTAAAAACAACAAAGCACATAGTATATGTGAATCATGGCACTAGTGGTGGAGTAAAGGACCGGCTTTTGTTACGTAAGATTAACCCTTATGCAGGCTACATAAAAAGTAATCCAGTGCTCTACTGTATACTGATACTACCACAGATATAATTTTAGAAGTCTCATAATTTATATTATGTAGTTTTAAAAAAAAAATCCAGGGATCTGTTCTTAAAAACATAGGCCATGATTGGGAAGTAATGATAAATTTGTCTGTAAGCGTTAAGGACGAGGTTGCCCACACCTGCTGTTGGGGCTGCTGGTGGCAAGCTCTCCCACTCTCTAGCTCACACACTGCCTGTGAACACAGTAGCCTAGCACACATGCACACACACAAAGTCCCCAGACACCTGGGGCTATCAGGGACCATCATATTGCCGACTCCTTGTATTCAGGGAGAGGTGGAAACACATAGCCTCAAGCAGCAGAAACACCGGGCCTCAGTCATGGCCAGTTCAGTTTCCAATTCCGGGTCTGCACGCTGCTTTGAGCCTTTGCTTTTATAGTTGTTGCCTTTAAAGTTCTGAACATTTGGGGCATGGCTCCCTCTCACTAGCAGTGTACCTCTACCTCAAGGCACATTTTTAAATGTATCTTTGGCAGCACACACTCACTTCTGTGAACCACCAGATGACGTACATAGGTTAATTTTCATTTCTACCAACGTGAATGCTGACATACAAAGGGCAATATCAAAGCAGGTCTAGTGAGTTCATCAAGTATTTCTAAACTTCCATGATTTTAATTCTTGTTACTACAGTATTTGGATAGGCATTCTGCTATCTTAGAGACTTTTTTTCATGTAACACAGGCAAAATGCAATGTGAAGAAAACTATCACTGAAAGGAAAACTATTTCCCCAAATTATGACTTACATCTACAGTAATGAGAAGCTATTAAAACAGATTTTTGAAGAATCTCTAAGCTGATCTGCTGCTTAGAATTTTGAGATTTCCCACTGCTCTGCTATTTTCCCATTCTGTACGCACAGCACAGATTCCTGCCAAGCCTGTTACAGTGAACAAACAATGTCCTCTCTGTCAGAACAGAGAATGAATAGTATCACAAAATTCTCCTCTAATGTACAGCCTACATTCCCCTCACCCCAACCCTTCAGAGGAGAATAACCAGGATGAGGACCGAGGAGGCAAACAGGACTCTCTCCTCATCAATCTGAAACTGCCTTCTAGAACACTAAGGGCTAAGTAGTGCCAACTATATCATATTAACTTCTAAACAGGGAAAGTTGGCAAGTTTATTTTCTTTTAAATGAGATCATATGTTTTTGCATTTCTGTGTGTGTGGGTTACACAAATATCTTTATAAGGAAGGAAGGAGGTGTTTCATCAGATAAAATTTTAAGAGACATTTCATCAGATAAAATAAAACAGCTTTTAGCTCCAGACTGAGCAGCGACAGGGGAACTTCATAGAAATGACATAGCAATTTGTGCTAAAATATTGGCAGCTAATTCATGAATGCTGAAGCTGACTATGAATTCAGCTGCTTCTGTTAAGCCTTTATTCCCACTGAGCTCATGATTCATAAAGAAAGCGCCTAGAGTTACTCCTGTGAAACACAGAGTATCATGCTGACAGATTCTTCTTTGGTCTCTCTCTCTCTCTCTCTCTCTCTCTCTCTCACACACACACACACACACACACACACACACACGCCTCCCCACAAGAGGCATTAAAGATACAATTTCCAAAACAAGAATTTCATAAAGCATTTCTCACAAACCAATGAAAGGTTTTCTAAAGACTTACTTAGCAAGTATTTTCACAGAAGAACATGGAGTTCCTTAAAATCTTTCATACTTGTCTCAGTTGGTGCAAAATATTATGATTCAGGCTTTCCCCCTCTTGTGATATGAATATAGCATATATTTCATTTTAACCTCTAAAGGAAACTACTCATTTTTTTTCCTCATTAAAGATAAAATGTTATTTTTATAATCAAACCCCACTGGCTTTTGTGTTCACAAGCATCTGTAACATGAAGAAAAAAGGCCAGCCTCTCCTTTCTTCCTCATTTCCCACACATTTTTCGTCCAGCCCAGTGAGCTCCCAGATTCTGATGGCATTCTCCTGGTAACACATTTAGAAGAGGCTGCAGGATGCCCCCACAGCACTGCTCTCTTCTCTGTCTTTCTCTCACATCACTCTAGGTCTGTATGAGACTAAACAATTAAACCTTTGTGCTGTACTGCTGCCATTTGAAAATTCTAATGATGTGCTCCCTTATTGGTTCAATGGTAATATTTACCTTGGAGAAAACGTTTGTCCAGAAGAGTATTCCAAATTCTGGCAATGTATCCCCTTTGAAATGTTGTGGTGAGAGTTCTCTCTTCTTTCTTGGCCTATAACCAAAGAGAAGGAAAGTTAGAAAAAAGGCAGATGGGTATACACTGTGAAAGATACTTTTTCAGTTCACTGTAAAAATGCCAGTGTTCCTACATCAAACACCGAGCTTTTTATTCTGATATTCCTTCCTGAACAAAGCAAAAGGCAAAGTAGAGGCACAACTATAGACAGTAATAATTAAATAAACAATTTTCAATAAAGAAAAGTTCTTTTCTCCCCATCCCCCCAAAAATTTTTATTAAAAAAAAAAGTCAAGTCAGTATCTAATCAAATACAAATCAATTTACTTGTTCTTTCCATATTTTTCCTAGTTTATGCCAAGTAAATCTCTGTGTTACTATAGTGATATTAAAATCCAAATAACTGTTTTCTGAAATTTGAAATAAAACAAGTGATTTGTTTAAAAAGAGGATTTACACTTTTTGGTAAGATAAGCTGTAATTCAGTTCAGAACATTTCTTATTAAAAGGAAACTTTGGTGCAGAGTGAACAGTGTGACCTGGACTACATGCAGACCTAGCCCCAAGCCATCCCTTCACGTATTCTGCTGTGGAAATGGGGAAGATGTGCAGAAAAGGAGAGGCTACATGGGCAACTTCCTTTGCTGTCCCTCCTGATTCACCAGCTCCCCAATCCTATCTGTGGTTTTGCCCTATTTTTGGTGTCTAGCCCTTCCTCTGCACCTCTTCCTCTCTACTTCTCTTTCCATCCTCAAATAAGCCTCTCCCATATTGAACACTTACTTTACATAAGACACCATGACAAGTGCAGTGTGAAACGGAGGAGGGAAGAGGGATGGAATGAATTAATGAATGAACGAACAAATGAAAGAATGACTGTGTTCACACTCCAAGGAGAATATCCTGGCTGTTGACTAAGATTCAGAACATCGCAATCATTTTAACCAACTGAGGTATAACTCCTGATTTCCAATATAACAAACAGAGTGGAACATGAGCCTTCTAGATTTGCATCTACTGATGTTCTTTTGTTAGAACCACATATTATCATCTTAGACTGTGTGTTGCTTTCTCCCATAGCAGAGTCAGCAGAATATTTGTATTATCTTGAGGTATATCTATTATTTCCTTGACAGTTAGAAAGTGAGAAACTGCTGCCTTTTGTTTGCCACAGCATTCAGCTACATTATTATTTTCTTTCAATAAGTTTAAAAAGATCAGAACAAGACACACAATCATGGGCTATCTTCTTCTAACCCAACTCTAGGTCTTTGTGCTGTCAATCACACCAACAAGGAGACAGCTTCGCTGGGTGCAGGGCTTAATGGACAACTGAGTTCCCAAGGCATCGTGCCACTCCTTTATTGGACTTCAGGACAAGCCTGCTTCTGAGCTCCTGTCATGCAGATATATTGAGATGTGGATTCCAACCCTAAACCTCTCCACTTTTCCATGTCATTATGGTCAATCCAGGGTATTCTCCTGAATTAGTCAGAAATATGAGCAAGATTTAATTATCTAAATAAAATTGCTGCAATTTTAACTGCAAATATTTACAGTTAAATAAGGTAAAATGTAAAGAATTAATGATTTTCTTAAAAAATGTCAAATTCTATTAATGTGTATCAAAAATAATGTTTGGATGTGCTTTCCCTATTACCAGATATGAATAAGATCCTAATTTGAAAATTAGAGACAAGATTTGACAGTTAATTTAATAATACAAAAATGGTACACAGTTTTATATTTTCAGAACATACATTTTGCAACTTAAAAACATTCCAAGGAAACAAGGTCATTAAGACACTGTAGTGCTATCATAAGGACAAACATAGAGCTCAATGCTTTAGCATCCAGAAATAAACCCATATGTTTATATTCCTTCAACTATATGGCCAATTGAGTTTTTGGCAAGGGTGCCAGGACTATTCAACAGGGAAAAAACAGGCTTCTTCAACAAATGGTTCTGGAACAATTAGACAGCCATTCTTTTATAAGAGAATAAACTCAGACCACAGAAAAAGTTAACACAAAATGGATAAAATACCTAAAGGTAAGAGCAAAAAGTACAAACCTGTTAGAAAAAAACCAAAGAGCTAAATCTTCATCAGCTCAGATTTGGCAGTGGCATGTGACCCCAAAAGCACAAGCCAACTAAAGAAAAAAAAGATAAACTGGACTTTATTAAAATAAAAATATTTGTAATTTAAAGGATAATATCAAGTGAATAAAAAGACAACCCAAGGAATGGGAGAAAATATATGCAAATCGTATGTGATAAGGGATTTACATATAGAATATATAAATAGCTCTTATAACTCAATAATAAAAAGACAAATAACCCAACAAAAAATGGGCAATGGATCCAAATAGACATTTCTCCATAAAAAATATACAAATAATAAAAAAACACATGAAAAGATGCCAACATCAGTAGCCAGCAACGAAGTGGAAATCATCCACAATGAGATGCCACTTAATACCTTCCTAGTGATCTGCACTTGGCCATAACAAACATGTCTAAGCTAATAACAAGTGTTAAGAGGATGTGGAGATATCAGAACCCCCATGCCCCGCTGATGGGAATGTAAAATGACACAGCTGCTTTTAAACAGTCTGGTAGTTCCTCAGAATCTTAAACAGAGAGTTACCATTGGACCCAGCAATTCTACTAGGTACATAGCAAAAGAAATGAAAATACACATTCACACAAAAACTTGCACATAGATATTCACAGAAGCATTATTCATAACAGCCAAGGAAGGAGAAACGGTGCCCCTCAACTGGTGAGTGGGTATACACAAAACGTGGTATATCCATACAAAAGAATAATATTCAGCCATAAAATAGAATAAAATACTGGTACATGTTACAACACGGACGAACCTTGAAAGCATGCTAAGTGAAATAAACCAGTCACAAAAAACATATTATATGATATTATATGATTATATGTTTATAAGAAACGTCCAAAATAGGCAAATACATAGACACAGAAAGTAGATTTGTGTTCCTTAGGGCTGGGGAAGAAGGGGTGATGAAAATGTCCTAGAATTGATGGTTGCACTTTAAATAAGTGACTTGTATGGTATCTGAACTACATCTTAATAAAGCTCTTATTGAAACTAATATTCCAAGGATTTGGATGTTATAAGCATCAGTTATTTTCCAGATCAATCTTAAAAAATATGGCAAACCCCAAAATAATTTTAGCTGAATCATGAGAGTTGTTACACTAAGCAGATGACTTAGCTCTGTTGCAAACTATCATGCCCTGACTGGGACAAAGTGAGTATAATTCTGATAGACCAAACACTCCTTCAGGTCTCCTTTCATCATGCTGATTATTCCCAAGGGTGATAGAGATAACAAGGTGCATCACTGCAAATGATTATTGACCCAATCAAACAGAAATCCTGTGCCTTCAATATTGATTTCTTTTTCCACCAAGTGGAATTTTAGGACTTCCGATACTGATGATTAAGTCAAATATGCCCTCTCCCCAAAACTCACATATCCTGTCCATGGAATGCCATGCTCAGCAGTTTCTGCTACACCTGGCTCTCTGACAGTTTTCACAAGGGTGGTTAGCAGCTTCTTAACACTGATGATGACATTCCTAAGAAGGCCCAAGCGAGTGAACTCCGGGAGTACAGGATGTATTTTTACCAAACTAACCTGAACTCTTGTTCTGGCTAAAGCCACTCAGAAGAACCGAAATAGCGCAATTCTGGGACACTGAAACCCTGACAGATGAGATGTGCACCCGACAGATGGCCAGGGCTGAGTCCCCGCTGGCAGTGCTGGAGAAGGGTCTTAGGAGAGGAGCGTTTTCTCAAGATTATATCCTAACAGTCTTTTCTGGGGAAGGAGTAATGATGTTGAGAGTGCAGTCTCCCTGCTATCTGGGTAGACAAATACAGGGACTGAGGAGAACAGACTTCAGCAATCTACTCCAAATTCACGTCTGACTTTTAAAAACTATACCTGGAGGCAAGATATCTACTCAGAATGAGACTAGAATCATGAAGCTCAATTATAGATTCTCAAATTTAAACAAAACTTAAAGATCATCCATAAATCAACCCCACTTGATACCTGAATCCTTTCTACGACGTCTGTGACATCTCATGTGTAACTGCAATGTCAAAAGGACTTGGTTAAACAGTTCAACATACTGAGCACTGACTGAATCACAGTGCTTAGAATATAGTAACTGCTCGAATTTATTCACTGACTGGGTGAATTAATTTTAAAAAATCAGAGTAGGCTCCAGGATGTTGCTGTAATAAAACCTCTCTCCCTCACAATCCTTGAAGACAGAGAAGAGAGTAGGATTACAGGTTGCTCATGACTGGCATACCACTGAAGCAGTATTTCCCACATGCAAACATCATTCCAGTAAACACAATACTTTACCTCTGTTGCAATGGAAATAAACCAATAAACAAAACTTAGACCTACTAATCTACCTATGCTGAATTCCCTTCCATAACAAAGGGCTTCCTCCATCCTAAGGAATCTCTTTCTGTCTTTGGGAAGCCTTGTTAAATTTGAGCTAGGAGTAATTAAGAAAGAAAGCCTCTGTGCTCCAGAGGCTTAGTGGCTTCAACCTACTTGGAATCTCAGTTCTAACGTCTAGGGCCATGCAGAACAAGCCCAATAGTTCCCCAACACGGCAACGCTTCAAATACTGGAAGACATCTATTTAAAGAAGTCCCTCTTCCCCTGCCCTTGAGCCTCTCCTCCTCTATTCCAAAGAATATGGTTTTATGTATCACCTGTCATAACTCAAAAGAACACAAAGACTGCCAGAAGAAGGGAGCAGTTCCCTGGCCAGGTCTGCCCACAAGAACAGACTAGGTGAAGAGCCTGCTCCAGCTACAAAGCCCAACCTGGGAGGGCAGGCCAGCAACCAAGCACAATGTCCAAGGGACAAGGCAACATGGACCTGATTTAGGAAATAACCCTTACCTGGGTTTTGGTGGTGGGAGTGAGTGGGGATCTTTGGGGCTCATCTATCACAGGGAGGCAAA